GTCTAAATTGAAAACAACGTTCAAACCTATGATTGCGTTGGATAAAAACCGCAATTTTTATACGTGTGCATGCAAAACAAATTTCTTGTTAGAGGGGTCTAAATACAGCACAAACAACATTTTCCAAAAGACCAAAAGAGTGAAAAAGTATATTTTAACAAAACGCATTTGACTAACAGGTCGAACAACAAATCTTCTTAAACCCTGCTGACTGCCATTGGCGATTGCCAAATAAACGGATCACCGATAAAATAAATGGATCTTAAATATAAATTTAATACTAAACAGAAAACAATAAACTTGCGGAAAAGTATATATATATATATATTGCAACAAGTCCGTATATTGACACAAGCAAGTGGCATATCTTTTACTTTTTCTTACAGCTGTTAAATTGTAACTCGACAAATAGACAATATTTCTTATAGATAACATTTAAACAATCGAAACCATGCTAACTATACCCATCTCTGTGTTTAAAAGTGTAATATTGTCAAGAGTGTATATAATGTGATATAACATGTTAAATAAATTTTTTTAACAATAAATCCATGTTTTACCGTGCATACTAAATGAAACATTGTGCTGCGCTCTAGCGATTTTTCGTCCATACCATCTCATAAGATTTTTCGTCCATACCATCTCATAAGATTTTTCGTCCATACCATCTCATAAGATTTTTAATTTCGCATTAAGACAAAGAATGCAGAAGACGGACTTATTTTAAATACCGTGTATTCTATGTCTGAAGATAAAACATTAAAATGTGTAGTTGTGATGCAAAAGAAATTATTAACGATATGAAAATGTATACAAAACAGTAGAATATAAATACATGTATCAAAATTTATTTACGCAGCATATGTCACCTTAATCCTATCATCTGCACTAAAGGCTTCTCTTTTGAGCTAGATATTTATGTTGTATGAAAATAGGTTCAACATAGTATTATTGTTAGTTATCAAACGCTTAACGTAAATGTGAATATTGGGAAACGGTAATTCTTAGCAATAACTATATCAGATTGCCTCATGTCAAGTTAATCGTTTTATAGAGTCATGACATGCAACACAAAACTTAATCATCAATCGATTATTGGTATTACTGAAAACTACAACAGTAAAGGATAGTAGTTACTGTACATATTATCTTTTTGGGTACTGTTATAGACTCCATCCTATAATTGATTTTATACACGGACATGAACCGTCAGGATACATTTATGTTACATTTATCCTGCAATCGACTTTTCATTTGTACTAGATGTAAACTTCTCATATCGTAGCCCGAAGATGTGTGCCGATTTCATCTGATTTACATAGAAGTAATAAATAAATGTTTAGGTAGATCATAAGTATATATTTTTTGAGACAGAATTTTATTATAATTTGCCAAAATGAAGATTTTAGTATGCTTTTTTCAAAAATATGATAAAAAGTATGGGTCACCGTGCTATTTTTCAAGCTATGAGTCGTTGAAAATAGCCTAAATTTGGTTAGATTGTTCATGAAAAAACACATTTGTGTGCATAAGAAAAATTCTATGAGATAGAATTTTGAAATAAATTGTGAGAAGATAGGTTTCATAATATGTTTTAAGAAAATAAAAAGAAAAAATGGTGTCACCGAACTTGTTTTCTTGCTACAAGTAAAAATTAAAAATTTCCCTATTAGTGCAGTATAAATTGTTTACTAAAAGAGTTATTTCCCCTGAAATGGCTCATTTAAAAAAATGATTCTAAAAACAAAAAAAAATTGATATTTGTTTAAATGTTTTGAATTATACAATAAATCACCAAGTGTTCTTTATATAAATAAACAGTCTAAGCATTAAATTGCAAATCTGTCTCCAAATTTGCAGATTTGGGCAAATAACTAGACCGATTTTGTACGGCGATTGTACAATCCAAGATGGCGGTATACCATGAATCTACCTTAAACAAGAAAATAGTTTGATAAAACAGGAAAAGTGTCATTATCTCAACTTTTTTTTGATGGCGCAACACTTTCAGAAGATGTTTAATTTGTAGTTATGGGTTTGGAATGAAATCTTAATTGCGTCTTTTTTTTCGCATTAAATTGATACCTTACCAGTGCTTTTGTATGGCAATTTGTAGTGCCTTTTCTGGTTTGATAGCCAAAATCTGAATTTTTTGTTGATAAATGATAACACTTCTAAGTAAGTATTAGATATACAAATACAGGTTTAAAGATAACACAAAACGAGAACGTATACTAGACGTTTACAGTCGCCTGGTATTTTGCTTATGTTGCGAGCGAACGGTTATGTTTAAATTACTGTCGATTTCATTCAAAAACTAATTAAACGATTGTGGATTGGAATGAAAACAAAAACTAAAACGTTAAAGCTCAATGTTAAATTGCAAGAAAAAAAAACAATATTCGTACAGTGTAGGAAAATACAAAAATTTGTATTAGACGCAAAACTTGAGAAAAACTCGGCGAGCCTCGCTTTTCTATCTATTTTTTAAGCTCGTCAAATAAATATTATAATGTCTAGGCCTACTCTGTACGAATATTGCATTTGTATGTTTTAAATGAAACAGGATTCAAACAAATTTAATGGTCCGAGTACACAGTTATCGTCCTTTGATTTTCGTTGTCCACAAATGTAGTCCCTAGTGTTGACAGTGTGTTACTTGCCATTTTTTTTTATACCCCTTCCAAATTTATTTCTCCATGTTTTATGACTCAAATAGCAAGTAGGGGGGTGAAATGACACTGTAAAAAAATTTGGGTCATGAATTTTAAAGTAAAGTAGTGATTTGGTCCAGCTGAAAAATGTTAAAAATTAGCACTTCGGAAGCTGTCAAAAGATTTGAAGACCCCCTTAACATAAAATTGTCCATATTTTGAGTTAGAGCCGATGAAGTTTTCTATAATTTTGATATAATTTGTCCCAAAAGTAGTACAACACACTGTAAAAATATTATTGAGAAAGCGCAGGTGGGATTTTTTTAATTTTCATTTATTGTCTAAAAGAAATGCACTACGAAATAACTGTGTACTCGGACCTAATGGATACAAGCGAATAAAAAGATTAAGTATGTCTCACCAAATCAGGTGACTGGGGAATAGAAATATGGTCATCATTAGTCTTCCTCTGACCGGCAGTAAAACCCTCGCCAAAGTGGGGCGTCCGTTTGGCTATGCGGCATGTACAAGTACGCTGCCGCGTCCAGTCAGAATGGGGACGTTAAACTAGATGCCTCGTTTAAAAAGAGTGCCACGCTCTTTGAACCCTTGCAATAACTGTTTGAGGGGTCCGTAGGTGGCCTGTTGCAAGGCTACATTTCTGTCCCTATCCATTATACCCTCATTTTCTAGTGGCAATATAAATTTCCCCGACCTTCATCCCGGGTGGCCTCTATTACAGGACCTACCTGTTGTATTAATTGTTAATTTGTTCTCGTCCTGAATATGCATGAAATATTTGCCACTTGGCGTTAAGCAACCAACAACCAATCAACTAAATCAGGTTGATAGATAGATTTATTTGATCAAATATCATCATAAAACATTACAAAAATAGTATAAAACAAAAGCAGACATGTAAACATACTAGAATCATAAAATCTTAAAACAATTGCTGATACCTAATCAGGATTGTCCGTGAAAGTCATACGGCCTATTTCCAATGGGATTCCTTTATTTTACATTCTTAAAAATATCAAATATAGTTATAAGAAATCATGACCTGGCTGGCTTTATACTCATTATGTTAAAATTAAAACTTACGATGAAAATGTCTAGAATATTTCAGCCAATCAATAAAATAAAAATTTGCTATTAAAATCGTTGTTTTCCTTTTTTTGACAGAAAATCGTTATCACCAGATTTACAAGATTCAAAATTTGTGTTGCTCTTTAATTCATTTGGCAAAAAGTTCCAATCCTTTATAGCATTATAATAAAATGTTAAAGTCTGTTGCCCTTTTATAGGTGGTTTAAAAAATTGTATTCACTAGATCGTGTTGAATAATTACAACAATCTTTGTCCTTAGTAAAATAACCTTGCATGTAGTAAGGGCTTTTGTTATAAGTTGTTTGACCCTATTTTCTAGATTAAAAAAAACAATGCTATTTAGTACATTAAAATTTACAGAAGTTCTATTTCCCATATCTTTAATAAATCTAACAGATTTATTTTGAAATATTTGTAAATTATTTTTAAACTTTTTAAACAAACAAAAAGTTTTTCTAGAGTTCTCTGATAGACATCTACCATGTTTATAAAAGAACTTCAGTCTTGCATTCCGTTTTTGTAAAATATTATTGACAATAATTTCTCCAGACAAATGTCTGTCTGTGTTTAGACTCAAGTATTTTAAACAATTTTGAGCTGGAATAATATGGTTATTGCAACTGACTTGAAAATTGTCTACCTTTGCAAGTTTGCGTGTTGAACCAAACAAAATACATTCAGTTTTGCCTAAATGGAGGGATAATTTGTTACAAATTAACCAATGAATGCAAGACTGGAGTTCAATTCCAAGTTTTACAGATAAACCACCGGGTTCCTATGCGAAAATAAAATTGTGCTATCATCAGCATATAATAATAATTTTCAATTGGAACTAATACTAATAGACATATTAAAATCAAAATATGGAAAGATTGATCCTTTAGAGGTGCCTTTGGTTGATCGACCTTTATTTAGCTTGACGCTAAACCCAGTGCAAAGCAGTCATGAAAATGATTTTATTCTCGTAGAGAGAGAAAACAAAAAGAAATAAACGAATGTATACGCAATTCTCGAGTAAACTTTTGGTCTGTTATTTTCAATGTAATTCAAAGTTATTAATTATAGAACACATAACTGAAAAAAAGTAATATAATTGTTGAACATCATCAATTATTAATAATTGAATTAATTCATATTGATTGGCTAATGGCCTCTGATATACGATAGGCTTTTATTTTGTTTTTATCTTTTTAATCATGAATGAATAAAAAAATAATTGGTTTATTTAATTTACAGGAAATGACAGTCATAAAAGATGATAGCTCCGGGAAAAATAGTAAAGCTTCTTCTTTTAACTTTCATAACATTAGCATCATCAAATAAAGACAATGAAAACAATAGCAATGCAGAATATAGCAAAGCAAGGTAAGTTACAATTTATTGTTACAATCAAATGAAATTATCGGGTTAACAAACATAATTGCTTTATAAAGAAAAGGTGGGTTTAACTTAAAAGACACAACAACAAAAATTACCAAAAGACATCTAGTGGTCCACATATATAGTTTACAACGACCAAATGCTTCAAATAACAAAACAAAAACATTACTTACGGCAACTTCTGACGAAATTAATGTATGTCTTTTGCATCAGTGACAATAGAGAGGCTCTTCATTTTGATAATAATTTTATGTACATCTTACACAAATAAACTGTTTTGTATTGTCCATAATTAGGGGGGGGGGGGGGGGAGGGGGGAGGGGGGGAATGAAAATCAAACTTTGTCTGAAATTCGAAGAAAAATCGTAATAAACACGTTTCTGTATTTTCTACAATTTTATATAAGTCATTTTGAGTCTTATAGTACTGAACTTTGTTACATGTAAAAAGAAAATCTAAATTCAAATATTTAAAAAAAAACTACAAGAGTTAGACAATACAGAAGTAGACAATGACTTGAACACCTCATACATTACATTTATCATTGTACTTTCACACACACACAAAGGCACTGAAAACTAAAACTGAAACAAAATTATGTTGCTTTTAAAAATCATTTCGTTCATGACAATCATATGGAACTATCTATTTTTCAGAGAGAACGTTTTGAAAGAACTTTTCAAGGACACTGGATACGATCCTACAATATCTCCAAGTTTTAATGAAGGTAACAATTGATTTCTGTGCTGGTATTTGCAAATAACATCATCAGGCTAACATGTGTTGACAATCACAGCTTATCATGCACATGCAAGTAACGATTCAATTCCGTATACATGTTATTGTGTTTAGTTTAAATTGTTTCCAACAAATGCACTACTTTAGATTTCAAAAACACAAACGAATCTTCATATTATATACAGAAAAATATCCTGTAACCAGTACTGTAGTTTATGAACGGACATTAACTTTTTATGTTCATCGTTTATTATGTTATTGTCTAAATGATAATGTACAGAAATGAAATGGATATTTCACATCAATTTTTATCATTGTAGATGGTCCAGTTGTGTGCCAGGTCCAGCTGTATATTATGAGCATTAACTCAATAAGTGATTCCTCTATGGTAATATAAATCATAATTATATATATTAAGTATAAATATTAGGACTGCTTCTTTCTAATGTTACATTAAATCTGTTATTAAACATACATCAATGATTGATGCTTCAGGATAGTTTTACCTAATGAACTTCAACTGAACCATGATTTACAATAATATTGCTTTGCATGACAACATATGTGTATACAAGTAACCTGCAACAAAGCTACATTTATCAATGACAGTTTCCTCATCGAAACATATAACTGCCACATACAAATATCGTGATAAAACAATTTTGATATTTGTTACATCTAGTTCCTTATCACACAGGTTGTTATTAATTATATCTCTTTATATTCTGCTACTTTTATCAAAAAAGAAAACAGTTGGTATAGCTATAATTATAGCGAATACCAAAACCTTTTTCCAAACAACACATGTATAGTGCCCATAATCAGTTACTTTTAAAACAGTACATGCATTTAAACAATCTGAGTTCACTGTTGTTACATCCTTTATAAAGACATTTGTTCAAATGAAAATATTTCTTTAAGAACGACATTCAATTTGTATCAACATGCATACAATTAAACTTTTTATTAATCAATTTAAATTATGAACGAATGGGAACTTCGATATATTAAATGAACAGAACAGTTTTTGAAGTAGTATGGGGTAAGTTATACAATCGGTCTATATTTTAATGAAATAAGCAAATTTTGAGACACTTAGGATTGCAATGTATTCTACTATTTTCTACATAAGGAAATGCCTGTACCAAGTCAGGAATGTGACAGTTGTTTTAATTTCCATTCGTTTAATGTGTTTGACCTTTTGATTTTGCCATTTGATAAGGACCTTCTGTTTTGAATTTTCTTTGGAGTTCGGAATTTTTGTTATTTAACTTTTTTCCATAGATTTTTTTTTTAATTGAAGGAATACAATAATGGGATTCAATTAAAATCTTGTCATTATAACTGTTCTTCAAAACAGATATTGTGTTGATTGATTCAAAATTTTTTAAACTTTGTCTGATACGGGGAGATACTTCAGATGATTAAAAAAAATGAAATGTACGATAATGTTTCCATTATTTATCATGGAAAAACAAATTGATGAGCTGTAGTAAGGGGATGCTTTTATGACATTTGAGTTATTTCCTTTTGTCATATATAATTTATTCACAATTCGGATGTGGTAAACCGTCATGGGCATTGCTAAACACAACATACTTTGCAGATGACAGTCATGAACGCTGAATTTACCATCGAACAAAACCATGATGTATTAAAAGTGTCGGTTCCGCCACCAGAAAACTCGCCATTGCTTAATGGAATATAAGGGGAAATTCAAGTAATCGTCTAATATCTTAAAATTTAATATATAGACATAGAAATGAGTACAATCAAAGATACTCAGAATTTTATTTTGGCCAAATTTATAATACAGCTCCTGATAGTGGTCATTGTCCCTAATTCACGATTTTAACCCATGTATGCGTTTTCGTCTATTATCTTGAAAACTATTATACGTTGAAAATTTAGAAATTAAAAAAAGGAAAGAAAAAAGAGTAAATGCAATTGGAGTTGTTAATAGATTAATAGTGAATCGAAATTCATTCAATATTCACAAGTATACAAGTTCTACATGTAGCTGTTTTTATATGAGCTTAATAGGAAAAATGCGCTCCGCCTGGAGCAGCTGGATACGACCGCAGAGGTCGAAATCTGAACAGTTGGGGCAAGTATGGACACAATATTCAAGCTTGATACAGCTCTGAATTTGGATAGTGATTAAATATTTGACGCATTTGAGATTTCTGACACAGAATAAATGTGGTCAGATGACTTAAAAATTTGAAATTGGACATTTAATTTGCTTAATGGTCCAATATCTTAAATCTAATTCCATGGTTAGATTCAGCATATAAAAAAATAAACCATGAATTCAAACAAAGTTTAATTTTTGACCCTTTGGACCTTAATATGGACTAATTTGAAAACAGGGCCCAAAATTAAAAATCTGAATGCACAGTTAGATTCAGCATATCATAGAACCACCAGAATTAAGTTTTTGATGAAATCAAACAAAGTATAATTTTGGACCTTTTGGACCTCAATGTAGACCTATTTAAAAATGTCCAAATATCTAATATAATAATACATGGTAAAAACCTCAAACAATTCAAGACTTTAAATTAATCCTCATTGAAATTGGTTAAAAGATTTTTATTTATTTTCAGTTGAAGATTTCTTGCTGTTGTGCAATCCTTTGTTTTGCGCAATACTTAGTAAATCTGTTTACAAACTAAATATAAAAATTTACACACCCTTTTTGGTGTGTATCTCCTGCCCAATCAGTATTTGTTGTTTCTTTATGTAGATCAGATATAATTTATGTTAGAACCAGAACCAGAAGTTTTGTTTTGGCCCCTATTTGGCCTCTAGTTTCTTAACGATTAACGCCACAACCTTAACAACCCACAAGATCGACCCCAACCTTCTGTGTGTGGTATGGAAACTTGTGGTACAATTTCATAGAGATCCATACACTTATACACAAGTTATTGTCCGGAAACTAGAAAAATGCCTTTTTGGCCCCTTTTTTACCCCTAATTCCTAAACAGTTTGGACCATAACCCCCAAAGTCAATACCAACCTTCCTTTTGTGCTATTGAACCTTGAGGTTAAATTTCATAGAGATCCATTCACTTATACTAAAGTTATTGTCCGGAAACCCAATGTCTTCGGACGACGAAGACGACGACGACATAGCAATATACGAACGCAAAGTTTTTGCCGTCGTATAAAAACGGTATCCTCTCCAAAATTCCCAATAATTCTTTCCCCTGAGGTTATAGTTTCAGCGGAAAGCAACTTTTATTTTTACTACGCAATATAAGTTAGAAATACATTTGACTAAATCTACTTTTACATTCAGTAGATTTACGGAGAGGAACACGTCTGTTGTGGTATGGAAAAGCGAACAGAAAAAAACCTTAGATACTCGCATACAATATATCGCAAATTAATTTGATTATAAAAGTACGTCAACTGGAAACCAATATTTTCTATATACATCATTTCTGTTGAGCTTGGAATACATGTCAAGTTTCTTGAACTATACACGTATATTTCAACGAGGTGTAACATGCAAACGCATGCATAGCTTTTTACTATGCTTTAGATTAGATTGATAAATGTATAAGTAACTCGATCCAAGCAGGTGGTCGTAAAACCTCTGTATCTGTTTTTCAATCTGCAGGATTACTCTATGAGTATGTTTATCCGACAACAGTGGAATGACAGTCGTTTAATGTATAATGAGACTCTTGGAATAACCCATTTGGAACTGGATACCAAAGTAATGAAAAATGTCTGGGTACCAGATTTATTCATTAACAACGAAAAGAAAGCCAATATCCACCACGTCACAGTGCCTAATATGTTGATGCATATATATCCCGACGGAAAAGTAGTTTATAGTATGAGGTATGCTATTGTATTTGTTTTATATAATAATCAAAAATTGCAGTAAGGAGTTATTGTATGAGTTTCTTGCAATACAAATGTATATTGTTGGTCAACTTGGCTGCCTTTTTACTTTAAATAATAGTACCGTTCAATACACGGACAACAGTTAAATATTAATGAAATAGAATAAATATTTAACAATCTATAAAACTACATAATTACATGTAATTGTATGTCAGATAAATCAACTGTTAAGTTGTTTGACACGAAACCTCTAATGCAATGCTTCGATTTTTGTTAGTAAAGAGCCAACCAAATTGAACTCTTTCAAGAGAGCATGTATACATTTACATGAAATTCCCGTTTGTTGGTCTTATTTGTTTGTTTGTTTTTTCTCGACGGGGTCGTCTTTCGCTTGTTCATATATAGAAATTGTTGTCTCTCAGGCTTCATCGTTCTTTTATTTTGTGCAACAAAATCAAATTGGAGCGAACATTAAACACATTTTTTATACGTTATTAAGCTTAGTCGCATCAAGATATAAATAAATTCATCATAGATACCAGGATTAAAATTTTGTACGCCAGACGAGCGTTTCGTCTAAAAAAAACTCATCAGTGACGCTCGAATAAAAAAAAGGCCATTGGCAACAAAGTACAAAGTTGAAGAGCATTGAGGACCCAACATTCCTAAAGTATATGTTAAGTAATACTAATTGATAATTAAACTCTGGCATTAAAACAAACGAATTCTTTCATGCAATACAAAACAAAGAAGAAAAAACAACAACGAAATAAAAAAAAACAGGCAGAAGAAAGAAAAACAACCCCAGGACAAAGGGAAAAAAGACGAACAGAAAAACAGTCCACACAAGTACACAAAAGCGATTACATTTTAGTTGTATATGTTAGTAGACCAGAAAGTTGTATTATAGTTCTTCGATTCACTGAAAATGAACCTGCTGTGTAATACATACAGGATAATAGGTTATACCTCTCTCAATGTAAATGTTTTGACGAAAGCATTTCAATTAATTTTTTTTCTGCACAGAATAACAGGAACATTTACCTGTGAAATGAATCTGCTGAAATATCCATTAGATACACAAATATGCTCTATGGGAATGGAAAGCTGTAAGTACCAATTAGGATCATTGTGTCGAGCGATAACGAGGCACTAGTATCTACGAAAGAAAAATTGCAGATCAGTTTTTAGCGTACTTGATGCTATGTCTATCCAGTTTCACCGAAATTTCTCGAATGCTGAAACTAAACTCAATGTGTCGAAAGAAAACTCTAGATATGATACAAGAGTACTATCCATTTCTTCCTTCTTTGTGTAAAATGTCGGATAGGTGATCAAAATAAGTTTATGTTATGCCTTTATATTACAAATACATGTATAGTATGTTATATCCATATATATTGTTTATAGTGGTTTATACTTTTGTTAATTTGATTAATTATTTTTGTTTTTCTCTTTTCTCTCTCATGTTTATTTTATATTGAACAATAGTGTATACTAAATGTCATTTCAAAGTAAATCATGAACAGTAAAGATGAATTTGTATCAAATGTTTTAGATGGATACAGCACAGAGAATTTAGTATTTGAATGGAACGAAGACCCTATATCGTACCCTCCTAACATGTCTCTACCTCAGTTTGAATTAGATGGTATGGCAACTTATAAATGTGACAAAGATTATGTCGGTAGTAAGTAATATTTATACTTCATTTTAAAACGCCTGTTTCTATTGATTAAAACAAGGGTAATATTATACGTTTGTCATGACAGTAGGTATCATTTTTTTAATTGTTACCCTCTCGTTTTAACCAATTAAAATTGCAAAGCAAAGATTTATAAATTAAAAGACAGCAATACAGTTGAGAGGATGACAGAGCAGACCGGTATCCCTGTCAAAATTTTCTCTGGGCGATACTTTGCTCTATCACTCTCTCAGCTATAAGTACGTGCTATCAAAATATTAACCCTACAAGACATAATGGAAACACTTTATATAAAAGGATCAGCGGAACAATTCATTTGTTCGAGCTTTAGAAATGGGAAGATAAGCTATATTGTTTTTATATCCTGCACTTTATCGTATAAGATTTAAGTTTTTGTTTTTTTTATATCCCAACAGTGGTCTTACTTTTATAGAAATCGACTTGGCTGAATCGTAGATGTTGAATGTGTATTGATTTATATTTTAGTCTTGGATACACTATTTTCTTATTAGTCGTTATTGGCTTTGAACTTGCTTTCAGTTACTGCGATTACTTTAGATCTATTATAATACTTTGTGTCTTTTGTCTTTTAAATTTTAGTTATTTTATTTTTTGCTTTGGATCAATCTGATGAGTTGAACCCTTTTCAACTATATTCATAGTGTGTTTTATGTTGTGCTGGTCCACCACTGTCCCATGTTAGAGGAGGGTAGGGCGCTTACAAACGTATTTAATACCGCCATATTCTGTATGTCCCTGTCTTGAGTCAGGAGCCTGTAATTCAGTGGATGTATATCATATTTGTTTTGTAAATAAATCAAGTCGTTATAGGTGTCTCGTTTGCACTGCTTTACATTTGTGATTTCGGGGTCTTTTATAGCTTGCTATGCGGTATCGGTTTTGCTCATGGAATTTGTTGAAGACCGTACGATGGCCTATATATATATTCAGTAACTTTTATCATACCGTACGCACAAAATAAGATCTAGAAAGCTGGATATTATATTTGAAATCAAAAATCAGGTTACGAAAACATGAAAACCCACATGAAAACTAAAGTTTGATTAATACGAATTACCATATAAATCAGGATGGTATTAGATGCTATAAATAACCCTGTCCATATGCCGTTCAACTCGGCACTACCAAGTTGTCAAATAAAGAAATGCTTTACAGCCAATAAATGGCCAAACTGGTCATAACGGGTCACAATCGGGTAGAAACGTTCACGGTAATTGTCATCCAACTAGCAATGGCGGTAAAAAATAACAGCATATTTTTCTTCACGTTTACATATTTTGGTGCTATCCCTATGATAGTATATCCGCCTTGGATTTTAACATCCGGATTTCAAAATTATGAATTACTGTTAATATAAATGATAGTCTGAGATAAGACCATCTTAGATAATGGTTTGGATATCTTCTTTCTAAGTGCTTTTTTATTTCATAATTGTGTTGAAACTTCTTAATTCTATAACCTTTTTTATTCACTGATTACACATATTGTACTTGCTTTGATATTTGTTTATTTCAGTAAGTTACACATGTCTGAAAGTGGACATAACTCTTACCAGGAACTATGGGTACCATATAATCCAGATTTATGTTCCAAGTTTCCTCATTGTATTTCTCTCTTGGGTTTCCTTTTGGTTAAATATTGACGCCATACCTGCACGCATATCATTAGGACTGCTGACAGTTTTGACAATGACAACACAAAGTTCTGGTGCGCGTGCATCATTACCTAAAGTGTCGTATGTAAAGGCTATAGACGTTTGGATGGCGATGTGTTTACTTTTTGTGTTTGGTGCTCTAGTAGAATTTGCTTATGTAAATGTTCTTGCCAGAGTTGAACGGAGAAGACAAGCCTCGATATCAGAGAGACGAAAGGTTCATACAGATCCCGATACAAATGGAGAGCCGGTAAGCTCAAACTATTGATTGTTGTTTGTTGAATTATATTAAGCGTTATAATATAAGTTGCGACTAGGTATTGAATTATATAGGTCTCCAGATTGTATGATTACGCAGCTGTTTGCTAAATATGAGGCAAAATCTTTATGTGCAAGGTCATTCCAGTAGTTTTTTGTTTTTGTCAGTTTAGAGCAATAAAATAATAATAAAAAAACACAATTAATGTGCATACAAATACCAAAATTCAAACAAGGAAAAATCATGAAAACAATTAAGATTTTATTAACTCTGTCCAAAAATCGACCGCGAATGAAACTAGCAATAGGCAGAGGAATTATTTATGGTGATGCTGCAAGAAATCTTGTAGACTACATGTAAAAGTCAACGTTTTGTAAACAATGGTAGTTTTATTTAATAATTCATCTTTAAACAAAACATAACATTTTTATCTTCTACACTGACTTTTGTGAAACCAGTTTTAAGGATGTACTTAGGTCATATTTAGGAATTTTTGTCAGATGTTCGGACTCCATGGTTTTTTTCCTACGAAACAGGGTAAAATAATTTGCCTCATAACAACCCTTTTTCTGTTCATATAAGACTTCAATAGCTCATAAAAGGTCATTTACCAAAATTTAAGCAGATTCTAGATTTCTTTTCTTTCGATTTGAGACCCAAATAATACTAATGCAAATTTAAGGTAAAAGTCCGAGTCAGCCTTTTCCAGCCATTTTTAAAATATCAAATATCTCGAAAAGGAGCTCCATAACCTATCAATATTTTAAGCTTATTTTGTTCCGTAACTAATACTCTTCTGACTTATAGTATCAATTTTAAATTCTAGATTTTTTAATTTCACTTAAGTACATCCTGCATTACAGTCTTCGTTCTTACTTTTAAATTCTGTGTGCTTAGCGAGATTGTTTTCACATTGTATGACCTTTATATTTCAGGTTGAATGGGAAAAAGCTCCACGATATCGGTTATTTCTCAAGAGTGTTACAGACCGAGAGAAAGCTAGAGTCGTTGATAAAGTTTCCAGAGTGGCTTTTCCTCTAGTCTTTGTAACATTTAACATTATTTATTGGACTGTTTATATATTTTGGGAACCAGTTCTTCGTGAAGAGAGCTAGTTATCGGTTATCTGTTATTGACAAAGTTAACCTGTGATACCTTTTTATATAACACCTTGTTATTTTTATACACCAATCATTGTTATGTATACACCATTTTCATCGAACTCACACCACTACATGTAGATGGACACTGACTTAAGATTTATGTTATATTGCCTATCTGGTCAACTCTGTTTATAATGTATTAATCTTAGAAAACAAATAAAAAAATATCAAAAATTTCGATCACACACTCTTGGTTGTATACGAATAAAGCTGAATCATTAACGTTTTTATATGACTCGAGCTTCCAGCAAAGTGTCTAGGTTAAAAGACTGAAAAGAAAATTTTACATACTAGGTATTGAGGCCAGGTGCTATGTGAAATAAAGTACAGACATAGGAATACAACTTCTTTCGATGCAGTTTTGAACTAGTTCATTATAGTGTCATGTGATAAGTGAAATCAAGTGAAGGTTTAGGATTGAAATGTTCTAAGAATGTTCAATGTATTCTTTAACCAATCGATGAAGTAAGATGAAATAGTTAAATTTACACATCATTTGATATAAAGATTCAACATTAAACTAATTGAGAATTAAGAGATTGTAATGTTAAACCTATTGAATTTTAGGTTTTAGTTAATATGTCTTTTATTATAGTCAAGTTAAACCGTATGTTGACCACTAGGTGACTTTTGGTTTTGTGTCTTCGGGTTGCTGTCCTTTTGAAGTAGTCCCATTATCTCATTTAACCCATACATAAGTTGACCGTTATATATCCATCTAAAGCGAAGAAATAACAAAAGGATTTGTTTTGCATTTTTTGCGACTCTCGCGTATGTTTTCTTGTAGGTGTGGATTTACTTTTACCATGATTATGTGTGTTGTAATTGTGACGATTCTTTCAAAACAATTCATGATAAGCAAGATAAACGTTAAGAGTGACATAACCAACAATATTTATATACATTTATTTTGTGTTAACGAGAGTGTTTCGCTTAACATTGACAGAATATACTAATTACATATCAAAATGATGACGCTATTTTTTATTTATTTATTTATATTTCTGAAGAGTACATTATCCATTAAGAAATACAAACTGAGGAATAAACATCGTTTGTGTACAAGAGGGAAATTCAATAATGAAAATTACCCATATACCACAGTTCATTTTAGAAAGTATACCAAAAACATACTAAAATGTATTTCTATTTGTATCCATGTGATGAGTTAAGACATTTTCAACTGATTTTTAACCGGATTTTCGAAAGAAAAATCGATTATTGATAATTATAGTTTGTTCTTATGTCGTACTGTCACACCACTGTCCAAGGTTAGGGGGAGGGTTGAGCGCTCACACACATGTTTAAACCCGCCACAATCTTTATGTGCCTGTCCCAAGTCAGGAGCCTGTAGTTCAGTGGTTGTCGTTGGTTCATAGATATAAGAAGATGTGGTATGAGTGCCAATGAGACAACTCTCTATCCAAGTCACAATTTATAAAAGTAAACCAATATAGGTCAAAGTACGGTCTTCAACACAGAGCCTTGGCTCACACCGAACAGCAAGCTATAAACGGCCCCAAAAAAAATACTAGTGTAAAACCATTCAAACGGGAAAACCAACGGTCTAATCTATATAAAAAACGAGAAACACTTATGAACCACATCAACAAACGACAACTACTGAACATCAGATTCCTGACTTAGGACAGGTGCAAACAATTGCACCGGGTTTAAACGTTTTAATGGTACCAAACCTTCACCCTTATCTGAAACAATAATGTAACATCACAACATAGAAAGACTATAAAATATCAATTGAAATGGCTTAACTCAATCAAAAGACATATTAACACCAGTGAACATACACTGAACAAATAAATTTGATCTATGATACAATGTAAATACAAAATAAATAAACTAAGGGAAGAATAATTTAAGTAACATGTTATACCGCTGTGAAATGTTAAACAAATTAAGAAAAACAATATGCTTGAACAAAAATATCAGCCATTTGCAATTACTTTAAACATAGGTAAATGAAAATAATTTTGTTGCTAGGTATACTTGTACAGTTCAAATGGAGAAAGGAAATATTTTTACAAAATAATTTTGATGTTCATAGTACGAAGAAGTAAAAATTTATAGTAATACCAAACATTAATCAAAGCTGGTATATAGACCAGATATAACCCTGAATAAGTAAACATTGAATAACAAAAAAGCATTACAATTAGTATCAACAGGTCAAATAAACAAGAAAGTACGATTTGAGAGTAGTCGCAGTTACTGACAGCTAGTTAAAAGCCAAAAACAATTAATAATAAAAAATGTCTGTCATATTTGTTTTTCGTAAATTGTTTTGTTATAAATTAGGCCGTTAGTTTTCTCAATTGAATCGTTTCATATTTTTCATGTCGGGGCCTTTTATAGCCGACCATACAGTAGGGTTTTTTCCCATTGTTGAAGGCCAATAATTGCTTACATCCACTTCATTTGAACTTTGATGGATAGTTGTCTCATTGGCAATCATACTACATCTCCTTTTTTTTTATAAAACAAATTGTCATCGAAAGTATATCAAGATTGGACAGCTTATCAAAATTTTCTGAATCGTTCAGACAAAATCTTCTTTTTCCAGTTCAATCAAACTTTTCAACTTGCAAGATAGCAAGGTAATATTTAAAGAATTATCGTTCCGGAATGTTGCTGATAAAATCAGTTGCTTTCTGGTCGCAAAAAATTTAGGGAGACTACAGGCTCCTTAGAAGTCCATATTATTGATTTTGTTTAATGATTAAACTTTCCAAAAATAATACATGTAGTATACGTATCTTTTAACAGAATTTTTAAGATGTAAATTCATTATTATGAAAATTTAATATAATTTTCTGTATATCAGTTACTTTTACTTTTTAAATGTAATGATCAAGGTCTTTTATTAATAATAATTTTTAAAATGACTTTGTGATTATTTTAATAACGTAACTTGTTTATAGGTGATTTATATCTAAGACATAAATGATCCTTGGCCATCCGGAATTTCTCTCTAAAGTGATAGATACGGGTGTATGTATACAACACGGGTTATGTTCTTCTCGTATATTTAATTATGGTATAATACTAAACCCCTAACAGGAGGGATTGTGCCTGATATTCATATGATGAAGACATAATCTTTCAATCAGTTTAATTGAGGTCTGGAGCTGGCATGACAGTAGCTGCTAGTAGTCTGTTGTTATTTATGTATTATTGTCATTTTGTTTATTTTCTTTTGTTTCCTATTCTGACATCGGACTCGGACTGGAGGGATGAGATCTCAAAAAACATGTTTAACCCCGCCGCAATTTTGCGCCTGTCCCAAGTCAGGAGCCTCTGGCCTTTGTTAGTCTTGTATCATTTTTAACTTTAGTTTCTTGTGTATAATTTGGAGTTTAGTATGACGTCCATTATCACTGACCTAGTATACATATTTGTTTAGGGGCCAGCTGAAGGACGCCTCCGTGTGCAGGAGTTTCTCGCTGCATTGAAGACCCATTGGTGGCCTTCGGCTGTTGTCTGTTCTATGGTCGGGTTGTTGTCTCTTTGACACATTCCCCATTTCCATTCTCAATTTTATATATATATATATATGTACGTCTGAACCAGTGACGACTCTACAACAGATTTTATCCATCGGATCACCAGCAGTGATGGTGATACAAGGCTGAAAATACATTCTGTATATATAATTCGTCTAAACAACAGCCCAACAATGTTAGATCTGTAAATTTGCGGAAGCAAATATTTTGTTTTTCCCTGGCTGGGATTCGAATTCATGCTGCTGAGATATCGTGGCACCAAATCGCCTTGCACTATGCCCAACCACGCTAGATAAAAACTGACGAGGAAAGGTAACACCCGGCCACCGAAAGCTTTATCTTTATAGAGCCTAGGTGGTCGAGTGGTCTAGCGCGTCGGGCATAGTGCAAGGCGATTTGGTGCCACGATATCTCAGTAGCATGAGTTCGAATCCCGGCCAGGGAAGAACAAAAAATTTGCTTCCGCAAATTTACAAATCTAACATTGTTGGGCTGTTGTTTAGACGAATTATATATAAATATGTATATATAAACAAGTCTAAATTTATATATATATATAATTCGTCTAAATAACAGCCCAACAATTATGTTAGATCTGTAAATTTGCGGAAGCAAATTTTTGTTCTTCCCTGGCTGGGATTCGAACTCATGCTACTTAGATATCGTGGCACCAAATCGCCTTGCACTATGCCCGGCGCGCTAGACCACTCAACCACCTATGCTTAACTAAAATCAAGCTATCGGTGGCCGGGTGTTACCTTTCCTCGTCAGTCTTTTATCTATCGTCGTAACACAGTACATGATATATAAGGCATGAGGATGGAATATTACAGATCAGCTGAATTATCTATCGTAGGGGATCTTACAAATTAATATAGGATGCAGTCACAGAAATAATTATATTATAAGTACGTCTGAACCAGTGACAACTCTTCGACAGATTTTATCCATCGGATCAGCAGTGATGGTGATACAAGTCTGAAAACACGTTCTGTATATATAATTCGTCTAAATAACAGCCCAACAATGTTAGATCTGTGAACAACGTTCAAACCTATGATTGCGTTGGATGAAAACCGCAATTTCTATACGTGTGCATGCAAAACAAATTTCTTGGTAGAGGGGTCTAAATACAGCACAAACAACATTTTCCAAAACACCAAAAAAATGAAAAAGTATATTTTAACAAAACGCATTTGACTAGCAGGTCGAACAACTGATGTTCTTAAACCCTGCTGACTGCCATTGGCGATTGCCAAACAAACGTATCACCAGATGTAAAAAATGGATCTTAATTATTAATTTAATGCCAAACAGAAAACAATAAACTAGCGGAAAAGATGGTAAACCGCAAACATGAGGTGCAAAAATTTGTACACCATATCCGGATTTCGACAATTAATGTCTCTTCAGTGATGTTAGGAATCGAAACGGTATTTGGAAGGCCATATAATTTACCTCTATTTAGGATAGACTCTTGAATTTTGAAGAGTCATAATATAGGATGAACGGATCATATAAACTCGAAGGAAAATATAATACAAGCCCAAACGAAAAAATATAAACAAGTCTAAATTGAAAACAGCGTTCAAACCTATGATTGCGTTGGATAAAAACCGAAATTTCTATACGTGTGCATGCAAAACAAAATTCTTGGTAGAGGGGTCTAAATATAGCGCAAACAACATTTTCCAAAAGACCAAAGAAGTGAAAAAGTATATTGTAACAAAACGCATTTGACTAACAGGTCGAACAACTGATGTTCTTAAACCCTGCTGACTGCCATTAGCGATTGCCAAACAAACGGATCACCAGATGTAAAAAATGGATCTTAATTATTAATTTAATACATATATATATATATACATGAGGAGATGTGGTATGCTTGTCAATGATTGATTGGTGTTTAACGCAACTTCCAGCACTATTGACTATTTCGTGTCGGTCAGTTTTAATTTGGTGAGCGAAGCCTGAGTGCCCGGAGAAAACCGACCTTCGACAGGAAAACTGACAATCCTTGTCAATTAAGATTGAAGTCGAGCGCACCTGCCCGTGCGGGGTTCGAACTCACATATTCAGTGTTGCCAGGCTAGTGACACAGTAGTCGAACTACTTAGACCACTGGGACACCGAGGCCCCCTGATTGTCAATGAGAGAACTATCCACTAGATATCATTAAAGGAGGAAGTAAACAACTATAAGGTATTGAAAGGCTTTAAACACTATGCAAAGTTCATACCGTATAGTAAGCTATAAAGACACAAAGGCTTCGGCTGTGAAACAGTTCAAACGAGATAGTCAACGGCCGATGTGTGTTCAAACAATAAACGAACACAAATATTGCAAGCAGCAATCAACGACAACAACTGAATTATTGGACAGGCACACAAAGAAAATGAGGGGTTAAACAGGTATGCAAGCGATCAGTCCTCTCC